TATTATGATAAAAATAAGCAGATATAATGTTTGTAATATATATATATATATATATATATATATATATATATATATATATCTCAGGCCCGATGATTGTGTCTAGCATGAGTCTGTCACTTCTGAGTGTTGACTTCAATGTTCACTTTATATATATATATATATATATATATATATATATATATATATATATATATATATTATGAAATGGACATTTTATGTTTATACATTCTTTTAATAGATACAAATATTTAAGTAAATGCTCTGTTTAAAAGCTGTAAAAATCGACCTTGCTAACCGAACGATCCTCTGTGGCTCAGTCGGTTAAGGCACGTCAGGCTATATGACGGTTCCGTATAGCATACATGTTCGATTCCTGCCAGAGGACGAATATTTTCTATGATAATTTCACGGACATTCAGGCCGGTAAATTTTATTAATACTGTTTATTATAAACAGAGAATTTACTTAAATATTTGTTTGTATAAAAATATCTATGGTTGCGTATATCAGTGTTTTATGGTTGTGAGAGGAAAAATTGCCGTCGGAGCGCCACTCATACGTACGCAGACATACATACACGCATGTCTCGTTGTTATATATATATATATATATATATATATATATATATATATATGGGTAAATAGCAGGGCAGACTGGGTTCTATAGCCTTGGATGGCAACTGGTCTAGAAGAAGGACAACTCTGAATTCAAAACCTGCGGAGGGTCGTTTGGGGACCTTGTGGCACCAGGTCTCTGTAAGCGGCCCTTCAAAAAGTGTGGATGGTCCTGCACGAAACCTTCACCACTATAATCAAATCTCATGTGGTGCTGTCGGTTTCCTGGGAACTGATCTGCTTGACCCTCATACGTCGAATATCGACGGGAGAGTCGAGAGTGTATATGTGTTTGTATCTCTGTGTCCATAAAAGGAAAAATCTTCCGACGAAGAAATTTATCAAGGTGAACCTGGAGTTTTTTGGGGTTTTTTTTTAAACTTGCATTTATACAAAGACGTAACGCGGAGAAAAAATAGCGTTGATTTTCAAATTTTGATTTTAAATTAATTTATTTCGAATATGGAAAATAAATATTTAATTTAATTACATATTTAATATGGCTATCGGAACGATAAATAATTATTTAATAATAAATATACTTAATAAATTTTAAATAATTATTCCAAATAAATGAATTAATGCATAAATAATTAAACAAAATAAAAGTCCTAGAAATAAATCATAATTAACTTATAAAATAAAAGAATAAATATAAATTCAACAACAAAATTAACCCACTTTCGCTTATTAAGCAGCTAAATATATCACTTAGTATCTTCCATAGTTTACCTTTCATTAGTAAGCTTTTATTATATTTAAAACGTTCTCAAATACAACATTTGAAAAAAAAATTCTTCTTCACGTTATTTCGATGTAAAAATACAATTTACGAAATAAAATCCATGTTTACCTTGATAAAGTTCTCATGGAACGAAACGCGTTGGTAAAGAAATTTTTCCTTTTGTCTGCATGATTGCATTTAGTATGAAACAGTCTGCCGCATCTGAGTGCTGACTTCACTTTTATATTTGAATACGCTCTATCTCTAATGTTGAACACTTTATCCCATAAATTTAGCATACTTTAAAACTATATTTCTTCATATATATATATATATATATATATATATATATATATATGTGTGTGTGTGTGTGTGTGTGTGTGTGTGTGTGTGTGTGTGTGTGTGTGTGTTTTGGATTGTAGCTCTATCTCTGATATTGAGCGCTTTCTAATAAGTACCGCGCATATAATATTAATTATATATATATATATATATATATATATATATATATATATATATATATATATATATATATAAAAAGGCTTAAACACTAATATTCCATAGTCATAGTTTATTTCACTGGAATCGTAAATACGATCCAATTCATCAGACCTACAAATTCAAAAAGAAAACAGAAAAAACAACTCCGGAAATAAAAAATAAAATTTAGAGAGAGTGTAAGTATGAGAGTGTGGGACGAATCTTAGAGGTAAAGAGAGGGGTAACAGACGAGAAAAGGTGGGGGATTAAAATTTAACACATAGATGTTTTAGAGATATGCTAAAATAAATAATATTGGTATACTTTGTATTGGGCCCTCTTTCAAATTAAATGTTACGAACGTTGGAATTGTACTCTATTTGCTCATCTTACCTGAATATATATATATATATATATATATATATATATATATATATATGTGTGTGTGTGTGTGTGTGTGTGTGTGTGTGTGTGTGTGTGAAATGAGAACGAATATGATCCAATGTTTTTTACAGTTTTTGATGTAATATCCTAAAATTATATATATATATATATATATATATATATATATATATATATAGGCACTGAGGTTAAAACCGAGCGGCGATAGTCTGTTTTATGCTTTAACGCATTCTTTAGGCCATGTCTGTTGTGTTTTGGCTATTTATATATGCTGAGCAGTTGTATACTATGGATAGTAAATTCTGTTGTATCATGCTAACGGTTATTGGGTAGACGGTAACGGTTATGTTTGAATTTACTCTAGAAGATATTGCGCAAGATTAATTATGAATCCGAATGTGCTTAGCAATTTTCTAGAGTTGTTAACTTTTTACTCGTTATTTATTATTGACTATTTAATTATTTGTTGTTGATTATTTATTTGTTTATATTTTGTGTTTCTTTCATCTATTTTATTACTTAATTATTTATTGTTGATTATTATTATAATTATATTTACTTGTTTTTCTGTGTGCATTCATAGATTGCTAATTTGTTTATTATTTACTTATGTTGTATTATGAGTAGAAAGATCTACTGTATTATTCTGTGATTGGATAGGCGCTAATCGTTATATTTCAAATTATTCTAGAGGTTATTGAATAGAAATAATTGTGCATCTAAATGCAGATATTTATAGCTATTTTATAGCGTTAGTTTTAATGTTTCACTCTTTATTTATTACTAATTAATTATTTGTTGTTGATTATTATTATTACATTTATTTGTGTTTATGGGTGCATTCGTAGTTTATTAATTTGTTTAATGTTTACTAATTTGTTAAATTATTTATTCATACTTTTTTGTTTATTTATATCTTTCTCGTGGGTGGATTATCTTATTTGTTTATTTTAAAGTAGTTGTCTTGCACGAAGCATATTGCATTATCTGAGTTGTATATATATATATATATATATATATATATATATATATATATATATATATATTTTTAAAATATGTTTTTTCGCTACACAGTTCTAACCATGTTTGAAAAATTGAAGCTAAAAGCCACGAATTTAATTTTATGATTAAATTAAAGACATTAGTTCCATTAGAATGGAACTAATGTCTTTAATTTAATCACAAAATTAAATTCATTTTTTTCAAACATAGTTAGAACTGTGTAGCGAAAAAAAATATTTTAAATCAATTAATTGATAATAAATGCTCTGTAAATTTACATTGAGTACTATTTTGTAAAAATAAAAATATCTATAAGAACACCGGATTATATATCTTGCTGTTTTTTTTTTATATATATATATATATATATATATATATATATATATATATTTGCATTCATCATAGTGCTATTTTATGAGGTATTTTACTTTTCGATTTTTAAGTAACGTTGTGATATTTGTTTTCGTGCCTGCATTTTGTGATGAGATCTGATCTTTTATTTAGTAGCTCGTGTTGGTCTGGAAAGGTAATTATAGCTACTTTCTCACACGGACAGTTTACAGTTTTTGGATTTATCCTTGTAGACTAATGATATTTTCTTTATTTTCCATTATATTTTTGGTGTGATTTGTGTTTTGATTTCAATTTCCCATATATGTTTAGAAAGCATTGTGCTCTTCGCGTATTTACTATTTGTAAAGATGTTTTGTGTGCATAGTTTTTGTTTCAATGGTCCTTCAGTTACTTTTATGTATATTTTTTCTTCGTTATCTGCTGCAGGAGAAAATAGCTATAATCACTTTCCCAGCTCAACACAAATTACAAAATAAACAATATGATAATATGAATAGGCTGGCATATATATAAAAGCAGACACGAAAACACGCACACAAACACACACTTTCTTACTGTCTCTCTCTCTTTCTCTCTCTCTCACACACACGCGCGCATATATATATATATATATATATATATATATATATATATATATATATATATATAATTTGAAAAAAAAAGACCAATTTAAAGTTCCATTGGTTATAATTTATTTCACCAGAGATTTTATTTTCTCTGGATCTTCAGACTTCACTTTCATGGGTGAAAGTTTACACTTTTGAAGGGCAGTATTAAGCTTACATAAAGTGACATGGAGTTTGGTCACTTAACATTGAGCTCTCCGGATTACATCCTCATTGGGATTATCCATGATATCCATATATATATATATATATATATATATATATCATGGCTTGGCTTCGCAAAACGAAGATCAAGAGTGAGTATGTACAGGTCGCTGGATAAGCATACACGGTCGAAGTAGTTGCAGCTATAAGTCCGTCCTGGTCTCGATGGCATAACATTGCAGTACTTCCTCCTCTTCCTCTTGTCCCTGAGAGCGGCCTTGCAGGTATTTTCACAGAAGGAGACAGCATGGTTGGTGGTGAGAAGCCAGGCGTCACGGTTCTCAGCTAGGCTTGACGATTGGCAAAGGCTGATGTGAAAAGCAACAAAGGATTTTTTCAGCAATCTTTAAATCATTTCTTTGGTGTTACGATAGACAGTGGAGAGCTCGTCGTACAATAAAATTTTAGGCAGGCGATAATTATTCATCCTGGAAACATGGCCAGCCCAGCGCAGCTGGGACTTTAGTAGCATAGCCCCAATGCTGGTGATCTTCGCCTTTTCAAGAACTTCAGTATTGGTGACAAAGTCACTCCTGTGGATGTTAAGGATTATAGAGAATAGAGAATATAGAGAAAAGATAGAAATGAACAGACTGAGATAGATATGAACAGATTGAAATAGATATGAACAGACTGAAATAGATAGATAGATAGATAGATAGATAGATAGATAGATAGATAGATAGATAGATAGTGTTGTGGTAGGATCCACCTAATTTGCATAGTGGAGTACCGGCCATATAAATATGGTTGGTACCGGGAAGACGAGGAGAGGAATCAAGAGATTCAATCCAGAGACTCTGCCCGACTGCGACTAAGTCAACACATTCTCCAGGAACGGTCTTCCCAAGAATATACAAAAGACTATATGTAAATATTGTGTACACTTTCTTGTTTCAATACATTTTGTTCTAAGTACATTTTGTGTTGTATTATTATTCCATGTATTAGTCAAGTTTCAACAGATAGATAGATAGATAGATAGATATGAACAGACCGTGATAGATAGATAGATATGAACAGGCTGAGATAGATAGATAGATAGATAGATAGATAGATAGATAGATAGATAGATAGATATGAACAGATTGAGATAGATATGAACAGACTGAGATAGATAGAAATGAATAGAGATAGATAGATAGATAGATAGATAGATATTGAGATAGACAGAAATGAACAGACTGAGATAGATACATATGAACAGATTGAAATACATATGAACAGACTGAGATAGATAGATTGATAGATAGATAGATAGATAGATAGATTGAAAGAAATGAACAGACCGTGATAGATAAATAGATAGATATGAACAGGCTGAGATAGATAGATAGATAGATAGATAGATAGATATGGAAAGAGAGTGTTTTTTTTTGTTTTTTTCATAGAAATTTTGTGTAAATCTGTACTTTGTCTTAAACTCTTGATAGCTGAACAGCTGGCATCGGTCATCAAAATTCCAGCCACTTTACCATTCCGAAGAGATATTAAATCTCGATAAGAGCAAATTCCTTCTTGCAGATTCAAGGGCTGTAAACAGAATTTGCCGTAGATTCAAACCAACATTTCTCTTTTCAGTCGAACGACGCTTACGGATGCATGGTTGAGAAGTGTGCGTAGCGTCAGAGAGAAAACTTAAAACAGATCTCACGAAAAACAAGTGAAAAGAAAGTGTTGCCTATTTGTCGCGAGAATATTCTACTTGTAAAAGAAAGTTGGTAGCTTTTGTTATCAGTGATCGGTCTGAAGATTATATGATGACATTTTTGTCTATGCAGAACATGCTGGAGATTTCATGTCAAGATGCTATAAGCGATGCCTTCATGCTTAGAACGATAAAAATCACATTAAAATATAATATTCTATATTTATAATATCATTTGAGTGGGCGCTGAAAAGTTCTCTGCCTGACCCACTTCTTCAATTGGGACTAAATGATTGAACATCAGAAATATTTTAATCAATTCTTGGTCATATCTAGAACTGCTCAGAATTATCTCATAATATACTGTTTGAATAAATTTTAAAATATACTATTTTACTAATAATGTCATAGTACATAGTACAAATTTACTTGTTCCTCTATAAGTTAGTTCGCAAATGCGTTATGGCCTGCCATTGCATTAGATAAATAATGGAGCATTCTTTTTTGGTTACGTGGAAAGACAAGAACAAAAAGATATATCAGAAACGTTGTTTGGTTTTTCATTGGGGGAAAAAAAGCATAAATAATAATAATAATAATAATAATAATGACGATGATGATGATGATGATGACGATGATGATGATGATGATGATGATGATGAGAAGAAGAAGAAGAGGAAATAGAATGTAAAGAGGAGGACAAGGAGAATAATAATAATAATAATAATAATAATAACACTGGGGTACAAAGAAATTAAGGCAAGCATAAAAATAGATGTCCTAACCTAATTTTTGAGTGCTGATTTCACATATCCATTTTCACTCATCACCTTTAGTTTTTGTGATATACATACACGTAAAATATATAGATATACATGCATTCAAATCTGACATATATGTCCTAAGATATTGTATTGTTATATTTTTAATTTTAGGAATTGTATTCTTTAAAAAAAAAAACTGATATAATGGGCGTCTTTTACGGTCAACGCTCGGCCAGGCAGATTAAGTTTCATTGCAATGTCATCCTCTTCAAATTCGAATCCTTGCTAAACATGCACGTACCAATATATATGATCAAATTTTGTGTCGTTTTCCACATTTTTGTGAGCTAATAATTATCCCTACGATGTCATCTAGCCAGCTCAAAACGCCGAAGTTGCATCAACAAGGCAAATTCGTTCTGTTGTGCTTGTGGTGAATCCACGACAGTTGCTCAACGCTGAACAAATACTCCCATCCTTACAGCTTACTTTCTTTATTTTGACTGTAAAATTGGAGATCGGGACAAATACTTGGCTCTACAGAATTGATGTAAAACCTGTTACAGAGGACTAACTCTTATAGTTTCATGACACAAAAACAGTCTTCAACTTTGTTGTCCCAATTGTTGTAGTTTTTGTCTAACAAATATGAGGATATATTTGTCCCTATGAAACCTGTTCCTCACTCATTTGATATCCTTGTTCCTATGAGATCTGTTCCTCATTCAAGCGATCACTTTATTCCTAAGAGATCTGTTCCTCACTCAGATCTCGTCCCTATGAAATCTGTTCCACGTTCAGATGATCTTGTCTCTATGAAATATGTTCCTCACTCAGATGAACTCTTTGTCCCTATGAAACCTGTACCTCAGTCAGATGATCTTGTTCCTATGAAATCTTCCTCATTCAGACGATCTCTTTGTCCCTATGGAACCCGTTCCTCATTCAGATGATCTTCACGTTCCTATGAAAGCTGTTCCTCACTCAGATGATCCTTTTGTCTCTATGAAATCTGTACCTTAGTCAGATGATCTCCTTGACACTATGAAACCTGTTCCTCACTCAGATGAGCCCCTTGTTCTTATAAAATCTGTTCCTCACTTAGATGAACTCTTTGTCCCTATAAAACCTGTTTTTCACTCAGATGATTCACTTGTTTCTATGAAATCTGTTCTTAACTCAGATGATCTGTCCATATGAAATCTGTTACTCACTCAGATGATCTCTTTGTTCCTATGAAATCCGTTCCTCACTCAGATGATCTTGTCTCTATGAAATCTGTTCCTCACTCAGATAATCTTGTCCCTATGAAATCTGTTCCTCACTCAGATAATCTTGTCCCTATGAAATCTGTTCTACACTCAGATGAACTCTTTGTCCCTATGAAACCTGTTCCTCAATCAGGTGATCTGGCATACCGGCTCAGGCAGAAGAACCTACTCACGGCAGATGTAAGGATGACCAGTTTCAGAGCACGAAACAAGGACTTCGTCTCATTCTTCGACATGGAAAGCAGGTTGTGTTACTGCTGGGCTTATCTTTGAAGCATTTAAATCAGACTGGTATGGATTCCTTGGTAATATACAGGTACCAGATTACCAAGAGTGTATCGAGAACTTGTTACAGGCTTGTGAAGATATGGGATGCCGAATGTCACTCAAAATCCACTTCCTCCACTGCGTCATTTAATTCTTCCCCAGAATCTCAGAGCAGTGAATGGTGAACATGGAGAAAAGTTTTACCAAGAAAAGTGGAAGCCCATCATAATGAAGGACTTGTACTGGATGATCCTACACGACATACTGGATACAAAATAAACGAGATCATTCAAAAATCTCACTTCTGACTGTTTACTATATTATGCTGTGTCTGTATGGTATTATCCAAGTAATTTAGTGTCATCCAATGCTCTGTATCTATGCTGGTTTTTTTTTCATATGCTTTTGTAATAGATAAAATAAACACATATTTTGAATTCATATGCAGTATAATAAAAATGTGTTATATGAGAACAAAAAAACAAAAGGTGATAGATCAAAACTGTTTATAAAATTGAATTCACCGCATGAAAACTAGTAAAAAAACACCTGTTCACACGCTTGCCTCAGAGAAACATTTTTTGTGAACCAGTAAAGAAGTAAGTAAGAAAGAATACAAAGTGCAAGCGATAATGCGCTTATGCGTTTAACGATTGCTTCGGTGAAAGGGAAAATTTTGTCAATTTTGATTTTTTCATTTGTATCTTCTTACTTTTAAAAAAAAAATGACTTTTATTAAAACAACTAAGCTCAAATATTTAATGATTCAGGTATTGTATAGTCTTGAAACATTAATATTAATATATTAATGGTAATATTTTTTTTTCAAAAATGTATTGTAATAATGTGTTACTGGTAAAAAATTTTCTTCAAAAATTTATTGCTGGTAATAATGTTTTACAAAATATTTCTGGTATTAAAGCCTATTTTTAAACTTACATAGTGTTTTGATCGCAGTTTGAGGGTTAACTATTTACCCGTAACTGGGAGCCTAACAGGTGCTACCACCCCGGGTCAGAGTGGATCTGGTAACACTAGGAATTATGAGGTGGTTCCACGCTCCTCAAAAGCTCCTGATCAGAACCCTTGCTGTTGGACGTAGTTTATTGTCATATACAGGACCACATTATTTCATCCTGTTATACTAACAATAAAATATAGTATTAGACTACTAATAAAAAGCACTTTATTATTTTACAATGAAGAATGTCTGAAATTTAAGGCACAGACAGCTAGAAATTGATCGATCGAATTTAAAATATTGTGAAAACTGTAACAAAATGTAACAGGAAATACTTCGTCCGGAAAAACTTTTTTATTATATGATTTGATTTGATTTGTTTGCTTAACAGCACATCGACTCCTTATGGGTCATTTAATGCCGAAATTTAATTTTCTTGGGAGCTTTGACGTAATAAAAATAATATATATTGTTCTGCTTTCATAATTTAATACATGGTAGATAATACACTGGATTTTTGCATATACATGTTTGTGGAGACATAATTAATAGAGGTGATGATATCTATTTTATGTTGTAGTTTTGTTGCAGTTATATTTTGCAATACAGTCGGATTTCTTAAGAAATTGTAGGATATTATATGGATTAATGTCAAGAAAGAATTCTTTCATGTTAGTTGTTTGATTTTCTTTATTAATATTTAATGCCGAAATCTAAATATTTTGAACACAATTGTATACCTTCAACTACAAATAAAATGTTTTGCTGGTATTTTTAATATAAAAATTATTTTTATACTTTTCTAGCGTTTT